TATATGTATTCTGCATGTATATTATACTTGAATTTTAAAATGTTAAAGGAGTCTGGTCTACCTCATTTTACAAATGAAAAGAAACCCTTAAAAATATAACTGTGAAAATAAAAGCTTTATAAGTTTTAAAATAAAATGTAAGCTGGGTGTGGTGGTGCATGTCTGTAATCCCAGCACTCAGGAGGTTGAGGTATGAGAATCATTGCAAGTTTGAGACCAGCCTAGCTACAAAGTGAGCACAAGGCCTGCCTAAATTGCATAGCAAGACCCTGCCTCTCAAAAAGACATATGTATATATGTCAACAAATATATAAATATATTGAATATATATATGCTTAATGATCTTAAGTGAAACATGGTTTCTTACATACTAAAAAAAATTAGATTGCATTAAAATTAAAAAGTTCTCTTTAGCAAAAGAAGTGTTGAAGCAAATGAAAAGATAAGTCACAAACCTGTAAAAATAATTGCAACATCAATAAGTGAAAAAAAGATTATTTAGTACATTTATTTTTATTTTTTTTATATTCCGCTGTTTATTTATTTATTACATTTATTTAGTGTGTGTGTGGCCAGCTCAGCCCACCAGGGGGCGGGGCTGGCTGGCATGTGGTGCTGGGGGATTGAACTGCGGTCCCTGTGCTTTGCCAAGCTTGTTCCAAGTAGGTGCTTTAGAGCACTGAGCCATCTCTCCAGCCCTATTTAGTACATTTAAAGAAAACACCTATGAGGGAGCTGGTGGCACAGTGCCTGCCTGTGTAAGGCAAGTCTGAGGTCCTGAGTTTGATTCCCAGAAAAAAAAAAATCTATGAACAAAGAAATCTATAACCCAATAGAAGAATTCATAAAAAACATGATTAGCTCTTTTATACACAAGAAAACCAGAATGGCCAATAAAAATATTCTCAAACTTCCCAATAACCAAGGAAATTCAAACTGAAATTACACAATATTATCATTTCATATTCAGTAGATTTGCAGAAAACAAACTTTTACGATATTAAGTGTTGGTAAGAATGTATGACACTCCCAGACTACTGGCACACAATAAATAGATTCAATTACTTTGGAAAACAGCTTTGTGTTGCATAATAAAGTTGAAAATGTGTATACCTAGAACTCTTTGTTGGGGCTGGTGAGATGGCTCAGTGGTCTAAAGCACCTCCTTAAAAGAAGCTTAGCAAAGCACAGGGACCGCGGTTCAATCCCCCAGCACCACATGCCAGCCAGCCCTGCCACCTGGTGGGCTGAGCTGGCCACACACACACACACACACACACACACACACACACACACAAATTAAAAAAAAAATAGAACTTTGTTATATTCCCCCAGATACTCTTTCACCTGTATATCGTTGTTATAAATGTTTCTCACAAAACAAAAGACTTCTATCAAGAGTAAACTTAGTTGAAGGTGGTGGCATGTGCTTGAAATTTCAGCACTCAGGAGGCTGAAATTGTCAAATATGATGGCTGACTTCCTAAGAACCTGGATCAACTGTAAAGTTACCACAAAATATAAATCTTTATACATACAGGTTCTACTAAATATATACTTAGGTAGTATTATCTCATGTCTTATTTAATCTATGAATTGAACTATCCCTTCTTAGGGTGTCTTGTTTATATTTCAGTTGGCAAAAGAGAATGAAATATTTATCTTTTAAGGATAATAACCCAGTTTAAATTTGTTTATCCTTTTAATTTTTATTTTTTAGCCTATGTTGACTATATGTTCCTTGAATAGCATCAAAAGAAGAAAACTGTAGCAAACTCTACAACCATACAATGTCAGACATTTCTATTTCACAAAACTCATCTTTTACTATATTTATGTATGACATACTAAAAATGAAAAATCCCTCTTAACTTACTGGTTATATCATTTATATTAATTAAATTAAAACTAGGACCTCTTTTCAATGTCTTAAACATAATACAGAGCAAATGCTTCAGCAGGAACCATTAGAAATTATCAAGTTCATCCATCTTCAAGTTGGACTCAGACTGTCTCAGGCAACTAAGCTATCAACCTAATCTTAACATATCTCCTGAAAAAAAAATTATAGCATCCTTTCCTACTAAACAGTCTGAATTTATTTATTTAGTTTCAGAACCTTCTCAATATACATGGGGGCTGGTGAGATGGCTCAGTGGTCTAAAGCACCTACTTAGAACAAGCTTAGCAAAGCACAGGGATCACGCTTCAATCCCCCAGCACCACATGCCAGCCAGCTGCGCCCCCTGGTGGGCTGAGCTGGCCACACACACACACACACACACACACACATAAATAAATAAATTTTTAAAAAAATTTAAAAAGAATTTTTTTTTCAATATACAACACTAGCATACAGTAAACATTACTATGCAGAAAAGGCCAGACATTGGTGAGATTTTCCTAGCACAAGGTGGCTCTAGTAAGTACCCCACTTACTAATTCTTAAGTCTCTGTACAAACAGCAAAATAAAGAGCTCAGTGCTGCCTGTTCAGTCTCAGTGGTTGCAACCTCACCTACCCACTGGCTTTTCCCAGTGATCTGGTCTCAAAGCTTATATCTCTTGACACACATGAGACTTGATGATAACTTTGTTTCCACATTGACTTGGGTTAATCTATAAACTTTTTCTTTCCCAACCCCTTTCCACCCAATTACTTTAGCAATCAAAAGCTGAGTTGTATACTTCTATGGAGTATGAATAGACACCTAAATATTGCAGTTCTAAAAACATGTAATTTATAAATGAAAAGAAGAAACCTCTAAATTTTCTAATTTGTCTGTAACTTTAATAAAATAAGTATTTGGCGGAATCTTTCTTCCCCTCTAGTCATGAACAATTTCATCCAACAAGATGTATTTTTTTCTTGGAGGAGTATTTTTTTTAGACTAAAAATTCCTTGACATCAGGGACTAGTTCTGTTTCAGTTTTTATACCTGGCATGCTCCATTGGACTTTGTTACTGTGACATGACCTGTATATGAACTGCAAAATGTCAATTGTATTTAACTAAAGCAATGGAGGGTCACTAAAACTTGGCCTTACTTGATTGTTGCATTTCTTCTCCTCTTCCTCTTCCTCCTCCTCCTCCTCTTCACAGTCTAGGCCCTGATGAGCAATTTCAGTAGTGCTGTTCTCCAGAAAGAGATTATTCTCCAAATCAGGCATTCTGGAAGCCTCTGTTGTGACTTTCACTTTCATGCTATGAAAGCCAGTGGAGACCAATCCAACTTGCAGGTTAATGGGGTCTCCTTCAAACAGCAGGACTTGTGAGTTCACTCCTTCTTTAAAACCAGGGGGTTGGTAGTCATGTGGGGTCACTACAAAATGAAAAATGGCAAAAAGGCATGAAAATTGTTTTTCAATAGAATAGAACCAATTAATACTTCATATGTAGTAGTAAATGTCTTCTTTTGATTGTTTGTTTTTTGAGTCAGGGTCTTCTCTCTATGTACTTCAGACTGGATTTTAACTGAATAAATAGCCAAGGCTGGTCTCTAGCATAGTGATCCTGCTGTCTCAGCCTCCCAGAAGCTGGGATTACAGGTGTGCACCACCATGCCCAGCTAAAGAAGGAATTTGACTAAAGGGCACCACTTACCTTCCTTATAGTAATGAAGTTTCATAGTAAGTATAACATCATTAGGAAGGGGTCCAAGGTTTTGCATCAATATGTATAATTTTCGAATCAGTAGAACACTGGCTTTCTTAATATCTTCGCTGTTTGTCCCACTTTCAAAGCTTGTATTACTACTATAGTCACAAAGAAAAATAACAGACTTTATAATCATATACAATATTGACAATCTATTTTAAAAAGAATAAAAATTTTAACTTTATGATGAAATAAATATAAATTAAATATCAGGACATTTTGGAGACAATTTTTAGAATGGAAATTAAAAGAATGATTGCACATTTCCAATTTATACAAGAAGGATTTGTGTTCCACTAAAGCATTTAAAAATGACCTTTAAAAAAATTTGGTTTACAAATAACCACATGCCACAATAATGAGAACAATGGATTCGCAATTACATGACCCAGCATCTATTATCAGCTGCAGTTAACTACCTGAATGACCTGTTAAGTCATTTAGACACACTCTAAATTGGTCAGCCCATTTGTGAGATAAACCTACAGACATTACTGCAGCACTCCAAGCATAAAATGACCTTTTAGCTCTGTGCCTATCTACCATTGAGTTACCTTTCAAGAACATGCTTTCTTCACTCCTCTATGGGTATACTTGCTTTTCTACTTGTCCACATGACAAAACATTTGCCACACTACTACCAAAATAAAATTCATCATAGGAAAATCTATTCTTATCACTTTTTTGCTTAAAATTCTCACATTCATCATCTTTTAAATACAAATATGTGTACAATATTTTTTCTGTCCTACCAGTCCTTTTACCTCCTTCACCTACAGTTGCCACCTAGTTTCCTCTCAACGATGTGTATTTCTGTATAGAGCTCACTGTGCTTTTTCACTTCTCTTCTAGATTTTCCCACTTCACCCTCTAATACCTAATTCATATGCCTCTTCTTTATGGAAGCATCCCTGTCACCTCTGGACCAGATTTCCCTCCAGACTGTGAGTAGCTCTTTTATTTACAGAACACTGAGTTTGGTATTCAGCTGCTCAATAAACTTTTGTTGAATTAGTAAATGAAGAAAAAAATGAACTAAATTACCTTCTAATTCTAAACCATTGTTATTTCTCTCCAAAGTTTTCTTCTCCAATTAGTCTCACATTTGAGCAGTTTTCAGGAAGAGCTTGACTGCAATGTGTTTGCACAATGCACTGCAAAATAATCCTAAGTAGTTGAACTATGTTTTTTTTTTCCTAACTAATCTTTGGAGGCAGTGTGAATTCATAAACCAAATTTTAATAAGTGAACACATTATTTCCTCTTTTAATTTCAAACAACTTAAAAGTTTTGTCCACTAGGATTTAATCATTTTGAACATACTTAACCAAAGTGAAAGGCTCTAAAGCCATGTAGCTCATGAGTAAAATTATGTTCAGGACTCACATTTAAATAAATGCTTAACTTTGGTTTCTAAAAAATTAAAGTATGTAATACCTTCTCCTCTCTTTAGTGTCTGAAAGATGTGACCATTTCCATTTTACTGAAAACATGTACGAAATGTTCTATATAATCTGTAAAGTGCTATACATATATTAGTTAATAATGGCTAATATTTTAATTCTCATTTCTGATACTTTTTCTTCACATTTGAAATAAGGCAAAAAAAAAAAAAAAAAAGGAAGTGAGTCTTAGAAATCTTGCGGCTCCCTGGAGATAATAGGAAAAGAGAGAGTTCTGCCATATTTTTCTTAAGAACTTTTCTTTTGGGGGGCATCCATCTCCATTCCTCAGATAGAAATATCACCAAGGCATCTTTCACATCTATTCCATCTCATCAACATTCACTTAGCTCTCTATTATCTCCTAGCTGATCTGTAGCCAAAAGCATATTCCTTGAGAGAAAAATGTGCAAAAATTGCTCCTCAACAAATGTCCTGCTCTGCAATGGGGCCCTTCTTAGGCGCAGGTCTTTGTCTTTTTTAATTAACTCATTAGTGTATATAAAACTTGGAGTTTCAACTTTATAGGAAAATACAATGCTTTCTAATCTTTTCCAAACAGGGACACACATAGAAAATGCTATTTATATGACATTGTAGGGGAAGTAGATGAGAATATTTGTGTAAGTAGGCAAACAGTCCAAGGGCTTTATCTACCTCAAATCTAGCCTGGCCACATTGTGGGAAGAGAAGTAACTCAGCATAGCAATTGAGAAACTTTTTTTTTTTTTTTTTTTTGTATTTTAGGGAAGGGTCTAAGGGTGTTCAGGGTCTCACTACTAGATTGGATTCGTAGTAATCCTCCTGTTTCCAGCCTCCCAAAGTGCTGGGTTTATAGGCATGTGCTACACCACACCTAGTCTCAATTGCCCTCTCAGCTCGCCCCCGGGGGCAGGGCCAGTATGGCAGGCCCAGGGATCAAACCCTGGCCCCTGTACCTGCTTGCAGGTGCTTTAATCCCCTGAACTATTTGGCCAGCCCTGAGAAACTTTAAATTAATGGCTAGACAGAGTTTTGTGGAGTTCTTCAATCAAAATTTGTATACAGGATAGTAATACAATGTCTACTACTGTGATACTCATCTTTACTTCTACTCTCACCAGCTTAATCCACACATTTCAGAAATTCAAACCATTATGATAGTTCCTTTTTATATTAATGGAGCTTTTTACACAAATGGAATAGTGTTTATGGATAAATAATAAAAGCCATGTGAGATTTTTCTCTTAGATTAATCTTACATAGACACTTCTCTCTCTATATATAGACATACAAACTATATATATAGACTTATATAGAGTCTTATATAAAAAGCCAATATTTATCTTACTTCTTGTAAATTTCTCATGTTTGTTAAATAAGTAGATTCTACCTGTCAAAATCCATAGTGGCTCCTGCTTTTGTGTATTTGAATTTGAACTGGTATATCTCAGTAACATTCTAGAAAAATCAAAGAGAATAAAGAAATTAATTCTAAAAAAGAAATACAGAATTTATCTGATAATAAGGGACATTGTGTAACTACTATGCTTCCTACATACCTGTTTGTCTCACAGGATTACATAATTCAGAGTATTTCCAGATATAAAGACAACTTAATTTTCCACTTTGTGCTAAAAATGAGTTAGATGGTAAATAATACAATTATCATTAGGCTGGGGAAATTAAGGCATAGAGTCAAGTATTTAAACCAACTAGATAAGTAACAGTATAACCAGTTGAGAAAACATCACTTATGTAATAAATATTTCACTGAATTCTATTTTGTGCCAGACACTGACAGGGGTGAATAAAACAGGAAAGATCCACGTTTTTCTATCATTTATAGACTGGTCAGGAATAGTCAATAAGTAAGTAAAACACAAGAAAAATTCAGATAGCATGAACGCTGTGAACAAGATGAAATAGATGTTGTGATAAAGTAAAGGAAGGGAAGAAATGCTGAGTTGGTGTGGGAGGGCTAAGGAGGCCTCCCTGAAGAAATGACGCTTGAGCTGAGCCTCAAGAGAGACCAGTGCAGACCAGTCCTGAGTATGCAGTGCCCCAGGCACAGGAAAGAGGGGCTGTGAAGTGGTAAAGGATGCCTCTTTATTTATTTATTTATTTATTTATTTTTAAATTTTATGTATTTAGTACAGGATCTCACTATGCAGCTCAGACTCAGTGGTACCAGGGATTGAACCCCAGTCCTTGCATTTGCCTAGGCAGGCACTTAGACCACTGAGCTATCTCCACAGCCCAAGGGATACCTCTTTTTGAATCAAAGAGGAGACTAAGCGACCAGAGACAAGTGAACAAGAGGGAGAATATCAGAGATGAAGTTATTGGGGGTAGCAGGGCCAAGGTAAAGGGTTTAGGTTTTATACTAAGTAAAGAGGAACAAACTTCCTCATGAGAGATATATTTCATTTAAAATAAAATATTTATCTACTAGTTGAAACAAACATTGACTTGAGGACTGGCCAGATAGCTCAGTGGATTAAAGCACCTGCTTAGGCAGATGCAGGGACTGGAATTCAATCTCCAGGGTGCAGGGCCAGCCCTGCTCCCAGGGTGCACTGAGACAGCAATTAAGACTGGGCATGGTAGCTCAGGCTTATAATCCCAGTGCTTGGGAGGCTGAAAACAGGAGGATCATGACGAGTCTTATATACATAGACCCCGTAGACCCTGGACTAAACACATAAAATTGAAAAAAACCAATTACCTGGATATATTATATAATCTGTCCACAGAGCTGGAAATGTTACTATAGGCAGGTAAAGGGTTTGAGTTTTAGTCAGAACACGCACACGCACACACACCCCTCGTTACTGTGGTTCAGCACAGTGATCCCTCTCCTACCTTAGAGGTTATGCTCCAGACACCCTCGCGATAAGCGAAAACAGCCAAGTAGCGACATTATATTTATTTTAGTATTTATATATGTTTTAAGGCTTTATGAACCCTTCCCACACTCTTATAAACCTTACACACACAAAAAAGACACTTCTAATGTTCTTAGCTATTTTCTATACTTGTAAACCTACATAATTTTAACATACATATACTACACTGCCAAATCCCGTGATATAGTAAAAACTCCATGATAAGTAATTTAATTCTTGAAAACCCTTTGAAACGGTGAGTCTGCAAAAGTTAAACTGCAAAATAGCAAAGGACTATTGCATTTGATCCAGTATGGAAATGAGGATATTATATTTATCAGAAAAAGTCTAAATGTTTCTGTTACTTTACGATTTTATCTCAGGGGCTGGGGATTTCGTTCAGCATCATGGCACCTGCCTGGCAAGCACAAGGTCCTGACTTGATTCATGGTACAAAAAAAAGTTTCAATCTCCCAGCTCTACTGATCTTGTTCCTCAACATACAATTTATGAGGTCCTAGAAATACAGGTTCGTGATATTTAAATTCGGGAAACTGATTTTTTAATGGAGTTAATTTTAAAAGATAAAAATGTTTTTCCAACTTGTCAGTCTAATTGAGAAATAAAATGGAAGTTCAGATTTGCTGCTTATAGTTGCTTTGCAAATATGAGAGATGGGTAAGATTAGAGGTGCCTACAGCTGTCTAAGAACAATAGGTGCATCCAGACAGGCTAGATACATGGTATCCTCTTAGCCAATGCTGAGTATAATTGCTCTGTCAATCAAATAGTGTCTATTCTTCCTGTCCGTCCTTGTTTCTCAGTGAATTTCGTTTCTTGGTGTTCTGAGCATAAATTTTAAAACTAAAAGATACCTTTTAGTAGTTGATAATTTCACTTTATTATTTGATCCCTGACATAACTAGAAATAAAGTTATGTTTATGATTGTTTTTAGAGAAGATCCTAATTCTTAGTAACTTTAAACAGATAGATTTTATCAAAGAAAGTCTATTTATAGAAGATGCCAGCAAAATCTTTAGAGCTCATATGATGTGCTCTCATTTTTCAGGCTGAGTTACCTAACAAAGATGAGCCTTTAATCTGCACATTAATGGTTTCTATCAACCATGCTCAGCTTATTCACACAGAACAAACAACAGAGAAGCATGTGCTACCTTTCCTTTTCTCTCCATATTACAAAGCACGGACAAAACCTTTCAGAATTATCTGAGAGAAAGTTGCAAGTCCATTGGATATTCATTCTCTATTGTATAGTTACAAGCTTGAGAAAATACATATCAGACCATGTCACTCCTTTGCTTAACACCCCCCCTCCATGGCAGCCCTTAGAATAAAATCCCAAGAGTCACTTTGGCCCACAAGGCCCACTCATCTTCCCCTTGCTTACCTCTCTGGACACTTTCCTTTCCACTTACTAAGTGCCAGGTTTATAGCGTTGCTTCTTTCCACAAACACTCAAAATTCCTTCCTGCCTTTGGGCATTTGTACAGCTAGACTCTGGAACATACAGTCTCAGGTTGATGATAATAACATTAAAGTATGCCTTTAAATGCATTATATCAATTCAGTTTTTGTTTAACCAATGCTCCAGAATACTATTATTATTCTCATTATTGTTGAAGCTGGTAAGTGGTAAAGATGAGATTTAAGTCCTATAATACTAACTATAGTGTTATTCTGCCTGTCACATGTCATTGCCTTTCCCAGGTCTAAAAGGTTGACTCTCTTCATTCAATCTCAGTTTAATCAGCAACACTGAAGGGAGGCTTTCTATGGACTGTCAATCTAACAGGGTCACTGGTCCCTCCTCCATTCTCTACCTCAGCACTGACAAGCACGCTACCTTTTTAAAGTTTTTCTCATAGCTTTATAACTAAAATTTATAAAATTTGATTTTGGTATTTTTATTTATTTACTTTTGTATTTTTAGTGCAGGGTCTACAGGGTCTCACTACATAGATCAAACTCATAGTGATCCTCCTGTTTTCAGCCTCCAAGCACTGGGATTACAGGCGTGAGCCACCATGCCCGTCTCAATCGCCAACTCAGTACACCCTGGGGGCGGTGCGAGTAAGGCATGCCTGGGATCGAACCCAACCCTTGCATCTGCCTAAACAGGTGCTTTAATCTGCTGAGCTATCTGGCTGGTCTATTTATTTATTGTTTATTCTTCCTCATAAGAATGTAAACTTCTAGAGGCCATGAACCTTGCCTATCCCCAAAATTTATTCCTGTGCTTATACCTTGAATTGTTCTAAACACATAAAAAGAGCCTAATTAGTATTTCCTGAGGGAATATTCAGTCAAGATTTTTTTAAAAAGTCTCTAAAAGCATGCTATGCCTAGAAACAGGGATTCTTATGGTTCAGCTCTTGAAGAAGACTATAAGAAGTGAATGTTTACCACCTCCAATAAACACCAAAGAATAATAATGAAACAGGATTTATGTCCTCATGATATTCACACATAAAGTAATTCATTAAATTCTATCAAAAAAATAAGGTCTTTCTTTAGTACATGAACATTTGGCTAACACATCTTAGTAATACCCACCACACATTTTGTAGTGTGCGCTTGTATAAAAAAAATTATTCCTCAGAGGTCTAAGAGCCTGCTTAGGTAAGTGCAGGGACCAGGGTTCAATCCCGGCACCGCATGCAGCACTGGTCCTGACCCCTGGGCTTGTTGAGCCAGCCAATGAGACCCAGCAGGTATGGTGGCACACACCTATAATCCCAGCTCTGGGGAGGCTGAAAACAGGAGGATCACTGAGTCCAAGCTGCGTAGTGAGACCCTGTACCAAATATATATATATTTTTAAAAAGTCATCATCACTCATCATTACTCTGTTGCTTTTGTCAGTTCATCTCTTTTAAGACAGAGCAACCAGAACAAATTTCAAGTGCAAAAAATGCGACAACTTTGTACAAGGCCCAAGACTCTGTTGGCCTCTGAACTAGGAAAGTAGATGTTCTCAAATGTTTCATAATATACTCTGCAAGAGTGCTGCTGGGGTAAGGGTAAAAGGAATCAAAATGGGTTATGTACATGTACCAATTTCCCACAGTGAATGTGATCATTATATACTGCAAACATGCACTAATTTTAATCCTAGTGTAAAATATATTTTTACTTCAGGTAAATATAAACATTGTATTGTTTGTGCACTTTTGTTTAGGGAACGATATACTTCCAGGGATATGACCTAAGTGTTTGGCACAATATCAAATAAATGCCAAAGACTATGTTTATGTGAGAATGTTGTTTTGTGAGTATGTAAGAGAATGTGACCAGAGACTACACAGATATACCAATGAGAGTGCTAAATAGCAACCATAAAACAACAGAGTAACCTCGTGGATTCTTTTAGGCACTATCAACACTGATATACCATGGCAGATTTATACTGTAAATATTGCTGAATTCATTGGTCTTTTGAGTTAATACCCTCAAACATGCTGCTAATTTTTTTGGTAATCAATAGCACACCATAAACACCATAAATTTAGGTACAAACAATACTGAAGAGAACAATTTTAAAAATTCAAAATATTTTTCTCAGATCAGAAATGATATCTCAAAAGTCACCATATAATTTATTTTCAAACTTCATTATTTGATATGCCAATATCAAGACTCACTTAGCAGTTTTATTCTCACTGTAAGATTTTTTTCTGTAGTTAAGCCTAAATTTCAACACCCCAAAACCACTTTCAAAGTAGAAGCTTCTCATGCATAAGAAAACATAATAAACACTGCACCAAGAAAACAACCAACTGCCGGGGAGATGGCTCAGTAGAATAAGCACTTGCCTGACAAGCGCAAGGGCTGAGTTCAATCCCCAGTTTCACGAAAACAACCAACTTATCAGAAAATTTTAATTTAAGAAATTTACCCTCCAATCTTTAGGAAAAGGGCATTTTGAAACTAAATATGAGATAAAGATACAAAGAGGTAAAACCAGATTAATCATTGAGGATTGCTGCCCACCTGTATACAATAATTTTCTCTTTGCTGGTCTACACAGCTATTTATAGTCTTGCAAAGAGGATATTAAGGACTAAAAACAATTTAGTTTTTTTTTTAAATCTAGTCTTAAACACCACCAGCTGAAATAAATCCATTGGCTTAGAGAAGACTGAAGGGGGGGGGGGAGAGCTAGAAGAAAAACACTGAGAACAGAGGATTTTTTCCAGCTCTGTACCACAGCAACAGAAGCCATTTAAAGTGGCACAAGTAAATTATTAGGTGCCCAGGACTGTATTACTAACTTTGGACACAGAAAACAAGAAAAGACCTCTGTCCTCAAGAATTCACAATCTGCTTGGTAAATAATCTATGTAAATAACTTGGGAGTGTTAAATTGTGGAGAGTCTGCTGGAAAAGCAATTAAAAGTAGGAAAAAGTTTAGTGTAGACAGACTAGTTAAACATTTTTAAAACAATGATACAGGGTCTCACTACACAGTTTGGACTCATAGAGATCCTTCTATCTCAGCCTCCTGAGGGCTGAGATTACAGGCATGCATTAGCACGCCTGGTTCTGGGGTGGGCATGTGCTACCAGGGATTGAACTCGGGACCTTGCACTTGATGGGCAGAACTGTGTTCAATATCCAGTACTACCAAAAAAGAAAAAAGGTTAAAAGGGGTAGTTATTTATAGAAGTTCAGAATTATACCTTAAACTCATTTATTTTTCCCAAGGTCATAAACAGAAATAATTCAGAATAATTTACAATGAATAATAAAATGTACATCAAATACATTTATACCTTAAGAGAGTTTCAATGTTAACGCATTAGGTAAATGAGTTCTGTTCTACTCAATACTTTTTCTTCTAATATCCCTTAGATAGATTTTGAAAATTTCAAAAGAAAGGGTCAGTCACATTTATAACAAAATAAAATGAAAGAACTCACTATGAGTTACTCTGCTCATAAAATAATCTAGTAACATAATCTATAGCATCAACTCAGGCAGATACGTAAACATAATATACATGTACCACCCACCTATATGTATATCTTCTTACCTCAGGTTCCTTAGGATTTGTATAAAGCTGTTTAAAGGAAAAATAAGTAGTATTCAATTTCTGACATTCACTCGATTATTCCTTATGATGTATGTTTTCCATATAAAGAGTTTAATTTGTGCTATATTACTTATTTTGCTGACACTTCAAGCTAGAGATAGAACAAGCTCTTATTTTGCGAACATGGAGTTTTTAAAAGTCTATGAACACTGAGTATAATAAGAAATACAAAGTACATATAATTATGGTAAGTTAAAAAATTGAAGATAATTATGGTTTAACTTTTAAAAATAATTAATATACCTAAGACCCTCAGTATCTTTTCTTTTATTCTTAACTATATACACCATGTGATAACTAGGGGCATATAAAATTTCTCAAAAAACTACAAAATTAAACCATAACAACTTTGAGTTTGTAAAGTAACTAAAGAAAGATAAAACACTGAAATCCTGAGAGCCAGCAAGTGAACCTGGGCCTTGTGGTACAGACTGATAATTCTAACACTCCGAGAAGCTGAGCTAGGAGGATTAAAAATTCAAGCTCAGCCTGAGTAATTAATTAATTAATTTTCATTTTTATGTATTTGGTACAGCATCTCACTACACAGCTCAGACTTGTAGTGATCCTCCTGTTTTCAGCCTCCCCAGCCCTGGGATTACAGGCATGCACCACCATGCCCAGACTCGGTTGCCCACTCAGTGTGCCTTGCAGGCGGGGCCGGCATGGCTTGTGAGACCAGAGATTAAACCCTGGTCCCTGCGCTTTTTTACATACACATACAAAGCAGATGCCTAATCCACTGAGCTATCTCACTGGCCCAGCCTAAGTAATTTAGCAATTTAGTAAGATCCTGTCTCAAAATTTAATTTTTTTAATGTATTTGGTACAGGGTCTCGCTACATAGCTCAGATTCATAGTGATCCTCCTGCTTTAGCACTGGGATTACGGTGTACACCACCATGCCTGGTTTCGGGATTAGTACAACATGCGCTACCCGGATCTTTGTGTTTGCCAGGCAGGTGCTTAGACCACTGAGCTATCTTCCCAGCCCCGTCTCAAAATTTAAAAATTTTATAAATGCGCTAACGATGTAGCTCAGCACAAAGGCCTTAGGTTCCATCCATGATATCTCAAGAAATAAAATTGAAATGAATAAAATACAGATTTTATACTGGGGGGAGCACTCTACCACTAAGCTATATCCCTAGCTCTAGATGTAAAACAAAACAAAACAAAAACAAAAAACCTCCAAGTATCATAAGACAGATAAATAAAGGAAGGGAGATAACACTATTTAAATATTTAACTTGCCAAAAGTCAATGCAGTAGAGAGGCTTATTCTTACAGTGTATACTTACTATAAGTACTGCCATGTGTAGCTTCAAGAGGAAAAAAAAATTGTTACTATATATTCCCACTTACATTATTGTTCTTTCCAATACAGGCTAATTAGAATATTATTTAAAAATAACTCACTCTTGCTAAAAAAGAAAATATGCCACAAATACATATAAAAAAACTTCCTTTTGAAACTACTAAAATAAAAATCTAAATCTGGTATATCTATAAACCCCTACTCTTTACATATATACTACTATAAAGACATTTTCTCTGATTAAAAGAGTAATAGACTATATAAACATGGAAATATAATTAAGCCTATGATAAATTTTTGAAAAACCTAGAATATAAATCAAAAACTTTCAGGTCCATAATTTTCCAACAAAGGACTTAAGCTTTAGTGGCACCATGTGGCTATGTTGGTTACTGCATATAACTGATTTAAGACCCCATAGTAAAACTTTACTTTATGCTAATTAGTAGCTCACAGATTTTTTTCAAAAAGACATGGACCCTGATGTCAGGAAACAGGAAGACTAGCAGGGAACTGTTTGACAAGCATTCTAGGTAATTCATATACAAGCTAAAGTTTGAAAACCACCACAGTTTTTAATTAACTCATTTAATTCTCAAATAATCCTAAAAGGTAGGTTCTATTATTGACCCCCATTTACATGTAGAGAAATTAAGGTACTAAGAGCTAGATTACTTGGCCAAAATCACACTGGTATTAAGTGACAGAACTGGCATTCACCTCAAGCTGTCTAAGACTCTTAACTACATTGCACTGTCCCTTGCTGAAATGTGGCTGAATGAATGACTGAGGGAGAATGAATGAGCAATGTTTGGTATGCCAGCAATGACTTGCTTCCTTTCTCAAGTAGCCTAATACTCAGGCCCTTCAAAGCTCAAAATCTTTTTCTCTCGAAGATTTCCTTCATTTCTCTAATTATAACCTCTCGTTTTCCGTAACTTCCTATTATATGTCATATTTTTATTTTTATTTTTTTCTGTATTTTAGGGAGGTGTCTACAGGATGTTCAGGGTCTCACTACTAGATCAGACTCCTAGTGATTCTCCTGTTTACAGCCTCCCAAGTGCTGGGACTACTGGCGCGCACCACCACGCCCAGTCTCAATTGCCGTCTCAGTGTGCCCTGGGTGTTGGGCAGCAGAATAGGCCCAGGGACCAAATCCCTGGCTCCTGCGCCTGCTTGCAGGCATGGTCAGTATTTTTCTTTTTTTTTTTTTTTAATTATTTATTTATTTTTATTTATTACATTTATTTATTGTGTGTGTGTGTGTGTGGCCAGCTCAGCCCACCAGGGGGCGGGGCTGGCT